GAAATATTTGGAGGGTCCTATTGTCCTGAGGCGAACAGAGAGGGAAAAGGAGGGTTCGCGATCTCTGTCCTGCTGGGGACGGATCGCACCGGCGCGGAGGGGCGTTTGGTTTTCGAGACAAAAGCAGAGGCTCCGTTTACATAAACTTTCGCCGAATCAGGACGGTTAACATTTCAATATTGAAACCCTTAATCTTGTTTTATTTTGAAGGGGAAGAGATCAGCGGAAAAAAAAAAAATCCGTTTCCCACGTGGATAGGTGATTTAATGCTGTTTTTCTTACTGCTAAGGGAAATGATTGAGCATTAGGTTTCAGTGTTTATTTTCTTACAGAAGTTTTTCTCATTTAGGCTGCAGTTTACTTTCCACGCTGCCTTTCTGTTTAATTCCAGTTTTGATGTGACCTTAAAATGTGAAGTGCAGAACTAAAATACTAGCGTGATCTTTGAAAAAGCAGATTTATGTGTTAGAAAGAATACTGAGTGAGATGAGTTTGATAAAACCATATTTTCGTTAGAAACATCTTCTCCCTTCTCGGCAACATACGGTCGTTGGAACGTTGGAGGATATTTTTCAACCTGCTTACAAAGAGCGTGTGTTCGCAAGTGCATCGGTGCAAACAGTTTCCTCCCCAATTTCGTCGGAATGAGGTCTGACTGAATTTGCATCTTCTGTAGAAGTGAATAAGTACTTGGCGCTCGAAAATTTGCCTGATTTCACCCCCCCCCCCCTCCGCCGGTTTGGACATGATTCCGTTTGTTTGCATTTCAGAGCGTGATTCCCTTACCCTCCGTGTGCCAAAACGCTGGTATTTCTTTCTAGACCGAATCAGCCTCGGCATTATTTCTACTACCCTTTTCACAAAAGGGTTGTTTGTTTAGTCAACAGGACTTTTCCTCACTCTTATTATTATTTTTATAAAGAAAGCGGGATGCTAACTTATCTCTGCTTCAAATGAACACATGTGATTTACCGAGATAATAAATCTTTACAAAACCTTGCTAATGGCATCCACAGGCAGCTGGAAATGAGCAGCGTTTTTTGGTGTTTTTTTTTGTTTGGTTTTCTTTTTTTTAAACGTAGCTTATTCCATTTCATCTGAACCCTCCGAAAGCGACCCACTCCTTCACAGAAGCCTCATTTGGCCGAGATTTTGAGTTATCATTAACCACTGCCGGTTCAATTAACTGGGAAATCGGCCCCGTCGGGCGTTCGCCGATGGCAAAACGGAGCGCTGGCGGTCCGCTGTTTAATTAAACTGTTAATCGAATCAGGCTAATTCCTCGACGCGACATCCAGTTGCCTTTTCGCTTTCGGGTGACCAGGACGCACAGCCCCTCTCCCCGCGGCTGCCGGTGCTCTTCTTCGTTATTCCCGCCCCCCCCACACCTCCCGGGTAGCGAGGGAGAACGACCGCTGCGAAGAGGGGGGCCCAGCCG